GTGGCTATCTAGTCTGTAGATCCAAAGAATGTGCTCAGACCAGGTGTGGCCCTAGAATTTGTACAGAACAGATGCCACCATCAAGTCAGAGGGAATGGATGCAGAACTTGTTCTGAAGCTGCTTTGTAGCTTCAAAAATTGATTAAACATATATTATTCAAATCAAAGAATAAGGGGAAGAAAAGACCCCCCCTCCCAAGACACTTTCTTGGCACCACTAAGCACTGACTCATACTAAGGAAAGATCAATGCACAGAGTTTCTAGAGTACTGCAAGGGTCTAAAATATATCTAATTAACCACACACAGAATCATATAGTGGAAAATGCTCTGGGTTCAAATCTTAGCTCTACAACTTACCAAGCTAAATGATCTTTGGCTTAAATTCAGGGAGATCTAGCTTATTTTACAAGTTTAGTATTTGATATAAATGATATCTGCATCCTGCTGTGGCTATTTTCTCCTTGAACATCATAATTATGAAATTCATGCCTGAGGAACTGCAGAGTCCCTAGTGCATCCATTCTCCTGTTTTGCCGTATTCTGTTACATGGACCTATCACAAATTTTTATCTATTTTTTCAAATGCTGGACCTTAAGTTGTTTCCAAAATGTTATTCTTACATATAATACTGCTATATTCTTACACCCATATACAAAAGATCATTTAGGATACATTCCGAGGAATGGAATTGCTGAATCATGGGCTATTGCAGAGTTATGTGCAATTTGACTTTATTGGATACTAACAACATGTCCTACAGAGTGGTTTCATCATTTGAGACTTCCACCTGCTGTGTATGAGAAGAGGCTTCACATCCTTTCCAGCATTCAAACATACATTCAACAAATATTTTTTAGTGATCTGCCAATCTGTTTGGTCCAAGTACTGAGATACCACAGTTAAAATTCCTGCTCTCTTGGAGCTTCCATTTCTTGGCAGGAGTCATAAAAACAAATAAACAATGACTACATAATAGATCTGGAGGTGATGAGTGCCTCGTTTCCAGTGGGTGCCAAGGACTTGCCCTTCTGCTTGGGCCCTTTTTTGCCTACAGTAAGTGAATGCAGTGCCCTCTTGAGCCCAGTGTGATCTAATTCCAGAAAATGATTTCTTAAAACTTGTGAATACCATAAAATTAAATGAACATCTTTACATTGGCATAATGGGTTAGAATTTACAGAGGGCTTTGGAATCCATGTTCTCAGTTAACCGCAATACTAGGCAACATACAAGGAAGTGGTTAAGTGCTTCTATCTCTGTAGTCAAGCTGCCTGGGATCAAATCTTGATTTCCTGACTTACTAACCACGTGACCTTGAACAAGTTACTTAACCTCTCTAAGTCTCAGATTCTGTATCAGATAATAATAATGCTTGAATCATAGGGGTATTTAACATGGTGCCTAGTACATTTTTAGCACTGTATATTTATTAGCAATCAATTAACAATAATTAGATGGGACGATCATGTGTTATTATTCTCATTTTATAGATGGGGAAACCCAAGTTTAGAGTGGTTGAATAAATTGCCTGACCAGTAAGATCTGGTGCCTCTAGAAGCTCATCCTTCTGACACCAGACTAAGTGCTCCACTACAACATGGTACTTATGAATGTATCACCTATTAATTCAATTATTATTTATTGAGCATCTAAAATATGTTTAAAATATGGTCACTGTGGCTGGTCCTAGGGAATTCTAAAAGAATCCCAATATAGTTGATCATCTTTGGGCAACCCTGAAATTACAACTATGTTGGGACCAGTCCCAGCACTTTGTTTCATTCAGCATTATGTAGTGATAAATTTTAAAGATTTTATTTAAGTTTTTATGGGGGACAGAGATGAGCATTATATCACATTAAACTGTAATCTCCTTGAAGGCAAGGATATGTTATACTTATCAATGTACAGCTAGCACTTAGCACAGTGCCTGGCACATATCACCCAGTATTTGACAAATGAACAGCACATCATACAGAAAAATTCAATCCATCTTCCTCAGAAACTTCTCACCTGCCCCATAATGCCTTTCCCAGCAGTGGCTCCAAAATTGTTAATGAAATAGAGTTGAATTGAATCGTGAAGCATCCTACCTCTCATGAACTTCAGATTCTCCCAGGAATTCCTGGCTTCCAGATACAAGTAGCTTTCATCTGAAACCAAATATAGTAACACTTGGGTTACAAAAAAATCCATAACTCCAAGTATTGAGTCAGGGAGCCAGTCATTGAGTAAATAACAGCAACAAGAAAATGTACTCCTGAAAAGATAAGGAATGATCTAAGGCAGTGCATAAGAATGCCCAGTGAAGAGAACTGACAGTGTTCACAGGTGGAGGTCAGAGAACTTGAAAGACAGCAGGAGGGAGGGTGGCAGTGTATCAACCTGATTGAAGAGAATTCTATTTTGGGTCTCTATAAACAAACTGTGAGTATTGTGAATTGGTTTTATTTATAACTCGGAGAGCTTCCTCTGCACAGCAGCCTGTCCACAGCTTAAGACTTGGAGCTATTGCTGTGGGCCAGGATCTGACGGGTCCAAGGAACGCACACATGCACTTTCCTTACAGGAGCTGAGGCCCAGGGCCCAAGGGCTCAGCTTTCCTCATTCCAGGCACCCCGAGCCCTCAGCCTGGGGCACTAACCTCCAGCTAAGAAGAGGAACAGACCATATTCTTTACCTGTCCACCCTGACACTTCGCTCTCTGGTTACAAAAGGTATCCACTTTAAGCACCTCTTTGACATAAATGTCACCATTCCTATTCCCTTTACCTCATAGCCTTACCGTCAGCTCCTATTCCCAAACTAAAATTAAATTCCTGCTAGAATTTGACAGTGCCTCATTTTCAAGATTACACTTTGCTTCTAACCTAAGCCAACTTTGGGGATGAAGAAAATTTCCTTAGACTTAGGCTTCTTCTTTTTTTTTAAGTGAACAAATATTCCTTTAGAGTGTCACAGTGGGACTAGGAAAATGGGATATTTTGGCAAGAAAAATCAAGGTTTGTGCCTGACAGCTGACTAGCACAAGGTACTACTATTTGGGACAATATGTTAAGCCCTTAAAAATGAAAGGAAAAAGAAATCAAGAGGTGTACTCCTTACATTTTAGAGATACATCATGACATGTTTCATGTTCTACTGAGGCAAGCTAGCTGGTAGAGGAACACTCCTAGTGACGCCTGGTTTTGGCCATTCAAATGCATTTATCTCTTTCTGTGACAATATGAGCTTGCAGAACATTGAGAACTGGCAGCCAAGAAAAGAAAATGAGGTCTTTCTGCTCACAGAAGAGATTCTAAGACATCCTAACACAGCATCACTGAAAGGGCTTGTGTAAGAAATCAGCCGTAAATGTTAAGTGGGCTGGTGAGGGTGGCAGAGTTTATGAGAATTCCTGAGGGAGCAGGATGCAAGAGCGCCTACGAGTTGTTGTATGAGTGTGGCACAGTCTGTAATTTGACTTGTTTGGGCCATTTTGTTATTGTGTGTTATGCTTCACTGAAGCCTGCTGCAAGCTGTCTTTTTCCTTGGCGATCAGAATTTCCCTGCTTTGTGAATGAGAACTGAGGCTTCTGGCAAGAATGCTAAATATTCCTTCACACTACATGGACAGAAAGAGCTGAGAGACTGTTATGTTTTGTTAGCATCTGATCCAGCAACATGATCCCAATTCTTCTAATTTCCTAAGCATAGATGCATTGCGGTGCTCAGTACAGTCTAGTTGGATTGCTTCTAAAGTACGGAGGAACCAAACCAAAAAGCAGCATCGAGCCCAGACGTGTATGCAGACAGCCAAATAAAACACGTCGTCAGGTTTCCAGCATCGTCCTCCTTCCCAGGCCCAGTACTGTCCAGAGTTGACGGATTTAGCAAAGAAATACACAGGCACCTGTATTTTATCTGGCAACCCTATTAGGGCCTTTAGTAGTTCTATCTTAATTCCGCCTATTGTGGGGGTGGGGTAAAGGGGCATCTGAGATTAGCTGTCAAATCTTAGAGCAATATTTCTCAAGGTCTGGTCCCAGATAATCTGCATTAGAATAACCTGGGGGACCTGCAAAAAAGGCAGATTCCTGAGTTTCACCCTAGACTTACACAATCAGAAATTCCAGGGATAGGCCTGGGAATATGCATTTGTTAAATCTCAGATAAAACTGAGGCACATAAAAGCATGACAATTATTTAATGATCTTAATGTCTTTCCTCTCCCATATTTAAAAACCTTTTTCTGCTTGTGTAGAGGAGACAATAAAAGTACAGTATCTGACATTAATGAGGACCTTAATAAATTTGTTCCTTTAAATCCCTTCTTAAAGAACTTTGCACCTAAGGAGCAAGAAGGGGTAGATACCCAAGGCCCTTTCCCAATCCCCTGAAGAAAAGAAAGTCGGGAGCTGTCTCTGATCACCTCCATGAGGCCCTAATCCCTTTGCATCCGACCCTGTCTAGGCTGCTACTCCGGGTAGTGGCTCTAGCAGAAACACGCCCAGAACTTCACTGCGTAGGACAAACAGAATGGCTCTTCGGTCCGTGTGCAGAGAAGCCCACAATTATTTACACCTTCTCTAAACTATTTTTGTACTTCTCTCTTCTCAGGATCAAAGAAATTAAACCTAGATTTCCTCCTTCCCCTCCCCTGCTTCCACCACCGAGATCCTTCTCACTGTCCCTAATTCTGCTCCCTGCATTGTTAGCATTTAATAGGAAAGTAGCCACAGTCAAAATGAACAGCTCATTGTATGTTGAGAACCGCGCGCCAGAGAAGGGGGTGGCGTCCTGCAGATTCAAGATTTGGGTGTAGGAAAACTACAGGCCCCCAAATGCAGTTTCACTTTCCAAAGACTACCATTCCCGATATGCAACGCAGCCAGGGTCAGCGAAGGAAAAGAACTGCAACCGTGGATGGAAATTCTGCCTTCGTGTCACCCTCAGGCGGAGGAATGATTTAAAGAGGCCCCAGAGGATATTTTTTGCAGGAGTGGTCACTCCCTAAATCCAGGCAAGGAAGGGGAGGAGGCTGAGCCGTGCCCCGCCCCCTTTGCCCGTAAACTTGTGGCGCTCCAGGTTTAGCTGCAGGAGTTCGAAGGGCTGGGAAGCGCTGCACCAGCGAGATTTGTCCATGGTTTCCGTGGCCAGAGCCGTGTTTGGAGACCTGCCCTTGGGGGCAGGGACAGTGGAGAAGTTCCAGCTTCAGTCAGACATGCTGACAGTGGACATCATCTCCTGGGGCTGCACTATCACGGCCCTACAGGTCAAAGACAGGCAGGGCAGAGCCTCAGATGTGGTGCTCGGTTTTGCAGAGTTGGAAGGTGGGTTGATCCCTGCCCTGGGCTGCGGGCGAGCCCCAGGCCCACTCCGCACGCGCCCGCCCCGGCTGCTGTTGGTGCGCTGACCCAGGGGAAGTACCCGCGCTGGTGATCGGCCCGCTTGGATCCGACTACCACCCTGTGTCGCGATCTGTGCTTGGAAAAAAGAGGAAATGAATGGAAACAGCCATAGAAGTTGGCCTCTAGTTATCCGTTCAGGCTTTGGCTCAGTTAGTTTAAAAAGTCAATTGAGAGCAAGATAAAACTCCAGCAACCATGGGGCGACCTCTGAACTGCTTGATCTTTGTGAAGGCAAGAGAGGAAAAAGCTGGCTAGCGGGGTTGTGGCTCCCAGTTCTTTCCTCCTGCCCTTTCTGAAGAAGGAAAATCAAAGACGTGGGTCTTCGACTTCCTCCTTGCACAGATTCGCTTTGGGGATTGGTTATCTCAGAAATGCTCCATAACATAGCTCATAACTTTGGTCTAGTGGGAAATATAGTACCCAGCATCCCGTGGCTCTTCCATAACCATGTACTGAGAGGAAGAAGGCAGAAGACCTACCCAATGTGTAGAAAAAGTTTCCTAATCAGGGTGGGGTTTTACTTTGTTGGAATCCATCGGGTATTAATATCATGCATTAAATTCAGGCATTCAAAATCTGTTTAATCAGTTATCTCATTCCATGAGATAGACAAGGTCCCCCCCTCTCAAGGAATTTGAAGTTTAGCTGGGGAGATAGACCTTAGCTAAGTACTTGCATAAATAAATAATTAACAATTGCAGTTTGATCTTGGCAGAGGGAAATGTATACTGTGCTATCTTGGCATTACTGTGTAATTAAATGGAAAATGAGGTCTGAAATAAAGTTAGCAAAGGGAAACTGAGAATAACCTCTGCTCAGTGGTAGTGGGGCGTGGACAAAATCTATTAGAGAGGTTTGAGGTTTTCCTTTAGGTGTGTCTTTCTGTCTGCTTGTCTCTTTAGATATGTAACATGGTATGTGCAGAAAATTTGAGAGAACTGGTTTTCCCTTAGGAGAGTGGAATTTGCTCTACACTTCTTTAACAAATATAAGAATATTCCTGAGGATCCTCTCCATGCTCTCTGGTTATCTTTCTCTGCCTTAGAGCCTCCACAGCTTGGCTTGGAGAAGAGAGTAGGTAATCTTCATCAGGATTTCCTTGGTTACATGAGTGAATTTATTATAGGAGACTCCCTGGTAGGAAGGTGCAGGGAGGTGGAGAAAATCAGCTCCACTTCCCCGTGCTCTGCTTGTCCTTTTGAACTTCTGAGGGTGGGAGTTCATATCTTTTAAGTTCAGAGTCAGAAGGCAAAGAGGGTTGACAAGTGTGTTGAAAAGATTCTTGAGAGTCATTTTGCTGAGTCACCTCTTTCTTTTAGCAACATAACCATTTTCTAGGCTGAAACAGGATCGCAAAGAAATTACCTGATTAGTGCAAAATGGCCAATGGAGTAAAAAAAATACTGGGTATATGGCCTAGAACTCCAGAACCAGGAAAGCATTGGAGATGATATGCCACAGGCACCTGCTTTTATCACCTCATTTCCATCTCTGCCTTGTTACTGTTCAGGAGATATCTACCCTTCCTCTACATGCACACATTCACACACTTTCACTTCTTACCATTTTTAATACCATCATCTCTATGGGATTATGATTTGTGGGAGTCTGAGTGAAAGAAAGTATTATCTCCAAATATTCTTAAAAGGAAGAAGAAAGATCCCTTCAGATCACAATGATTGAAGTTGTATTGCCCTGCCCTCCATTTTATTAACATCTCTCATGAATGTTAAATAGCATTTTCGTACAGTGTTGCATCATACGCTTCAAAGAATGGTAGGAGAATCAAAGCATCTTAAATATTCTAGGTGTTGGATCAAGACAGACATTTTCGTTCCTATGCTATAATTTAAATAACTTATTTAAAAAGGAAAGCAAATTATTTTCAAAAGAAAAGTTGGAAAAAAGCCCTCAGAATATCAAGTAATACTTTCTAATATATTCAGCCATCTTCAAGGTTATTGCATGTGACCCTTTGTTCTCTTTTTACAACCCTGTCTTTCAGTTTTTTGTAGATTGTTCTAGTATTGCCAAAGGTAAAGAAGACTTCATATATGTCATAACAGGAAGCATAATTGTCTCCATCAGAAGAGTGTGAAATAACACTGGGCTACTATTTTGATCAATTTTAGTATATTAAAACCCATGTAAAGAAATTGGCAACAGTAGTTGTCTCTAAGAAAGGACTTTGGGTGTCTGGGGTGCAGGAGTAGAAGGAGATTTAATTTTCACTGTACATATTTTTTTTTTTACGAGAGCCAGGGAGAGGCTTTTATTTAGAGATACAGTGAGAGGACAGAGCTCCTGGCTAACACCAGGAGGGGACAAGAGAGCCCTGTGCATTCTTTTAGAATGTCTGAGTTTGTAAGTATATAAACAAAACTGAAGTAAAGAGTTTAGAGCAACAAACCATGTCCTAAATAAGGAGTTATCTTGACATTACTGTGTCCCCAAAATGTTTTGAGCCACAGGGAAGAGCTGTGCATGGATAATTCCATGAGACATGGCCCTTTTGTAACTGCCAGGTTAGATGTGATTTATCTCCAATTTCCCAGATAGATTATATAAAGTGCTTGGATGATGGCCATGACCGGAGGTCAGAATGGTTCAGTTCCTCCCTGGGAAAATGAGATCTTTCTTCTGTAACACTCTAAAGAGGTAAATCATACAATCTTTTGTTACACCCTGAAAAAATCAGTAATGCCTCCTGTGGATTTTTCTGCCATTTTTTGTGTTTAAAATATTTTTCAATGTTTTTCATCTTTGTGTCCCACCTACAGTCACTGTGACTTCTTTGGAAATCTGTGACAAGAATATTCACCAGTATGTCACAGGTATAAACGATCTACCCGTACAATCAGTGCAACTCCTGCCCTTTCCAGTTACCACCAGACACACAGCTATTACTGCCCTGAGGGCCATGATAGACAAAATTTGGAAAAAATTAATTTAGTGCTTTTAGAAAATCTGAGTTCATCAGAAGGGGTGGAGGAAAAGACCAGTTTGGAGACTGCAGTTTAACACTGTGGACCCCAAGAGCGCCCTTAGAGGAGCTTTGAGGATTCCTGGCTTAAGACAACTTTGTCCTGAAAGCTGTGTGACCTAGGCAAGTTCTGTAACCTCTCCAGACCTAGTTCCTCACCTTAGCACATGATTAATGATATTAAATGTGCTGCCGGCTGTGATGGCAGCTGACCATGATCAGCAATTGACAGTTTTTATCTCCTCTTCTTCCTTTGTCTCCAAATATCTTCCCTCACGTGCCTCAAACTTTTTCTTTTACTCCGTTAACACTGCAAGAGAAGGCATGGAGATTCATGTGGGACAACCAGCAGCCGTTTAAAAATATATATTTGGGATGATTAAAGTCACTGTTCGTTAATGTTTATTTTCCTCAGACCAAAGGAAAGTCTGTGGAAAGGAAATTCAGGGTGTGGAGGTTTTGACCAAGAGCAGTGAGCAATCACGCCTCAGACTTCAGGGCAGTCTGGAGAAGGTTTGAGCTGTGCGAGGCAGAGGTCATAGCTGGGGTCCTAGGGTGTTCCAGGTGGAGAGAGCCACCCCCTGGTTAAGCATTTATTATATTCTGGCCATCCCTTGCCCAGGAAAAGGGGTAAACTTTTCCCCTACATTTTACCCCACATCAGTAATTGACTTGGTTAAATCTGCATTTGTGGCTTGACCTAGACTCTTCTACTCTTCTCATGGAAAATAGTATTTTCTACATTTCAAAAGAAGCTTTGTAGTCATTTCCTATTCAGAATCTGGAGATTGTCATTATTTGTAATTCTGACCTGATACAAAAGCTTGGTAGCATATAAAGATAGCGTAAAATCCATTTGTTCTGAAGAATTTTTTTAGAGACAGTTGGTAGCAGTGGTTTCTGCTGTCCTTATGGTTTAATCCTTAAAAACTCATCACCTAAATCAAAGACTGGCAAGTGCTTCTTATCTCTGTGGGTTTATTAACCGTTGCCAGGAAGTGGTTCCTCCTGAGGGAATTCTTGCAAGCCCAGAAGGCAGCAGTCTGGCAGGTGGCTCTGTCATTGTCTCTGAAGCTGAGCACATACCTGACAGAAAGCAGAGGCTCCATGTACACTTGTTGAATGAATCAAGGTGGGAATCAAAAATAGATATAGCCAAACAAACTTTGAACAAAGATTCTGCTTTTCTTCACGTTTCACCTGAAAAGCAGATGAATGCTATATATTATATGTCATCAGGAAAATGCAAACTGAAACAGTAGTGAGACGTATTAGAATGACCAAATTCAGAACCCTGATAACACCAAATGCTGACAAGGATGTGGAGCAACAGGGACTCTCACTCACTGCTGGGGGGAATGCAAAACGGTACAGCCACTCTGGAGGACAGTTTCGTAGTTTCTTACAAAACTAAACACGCTCTGACCAAATGATGCAGCAATCCTGTTCCTTGGTATTTACCCACAAGGTTAAAAACCTATGTCTACACAAAAATCTGTGCTCAGAGGCTTGTAGCAGCTTAACTTATATAATTGCCAAAACTTGGAAGCAACCAAGATGTCCTTTAGTAGGTGAATGGTTTAAAAAAGCGGTGGTATGTCAGACAATGGAGTATTATTTGGTGCTGAAAAGAAATGAGCACTCAGGCCATGAAAAGAAAGAGAGGAACCTTAAGTGCATATTATTAAGTGAAGGAAGCCAGTCTGAAAAGGCTACATACTGTATGACATTCTGTAAAAGGCAAATCTGTTGAGACAGTAAAGAGATCAGTGGTTGCCAGGTTGGGAAGGATGAATAAGCAGAGCACAGATTTTTAGGGCACTGAAGATGTTCTGTGTGATGTTATAATGCTGGATACATGTCATTAATACATTTGTCCAAACCCAGAGAATATACAACACCAAGAGTAAAACTTACTGTAAACTAAGGACTTCGGGTGATAATGATGGTCCATGTAGGTTCATCAGTTGTAGCAAAAGTACCACTCTGGTGGGGGGAATGTAGATAATGGGGAAGGCTATGCATGCGTGGGGTTAAGGGAGTATGTGGGGAATCTCTGTACCTTCTGCTCAGTTTTGCTGTGAATTTAAAACTGCTCCAAAAAATAAGGTCTACTAAACACAAAAACAGAAGCAGATGAGGGAAAACCAAGAAAAGGTTTTTGACTCTTGGGGGTTTCTTTTGGTTACCCAGTGTAAGCTACAGCTTCAGAAAGAGAGGAGGGTAGGGGACAGAGGTAGGAGCTGGTGGAGAGATCAGCAGCCTGGCCTCAGCTAAAATGGTAGTAAGGTCAATTAACCAGGAAGATTTGTGCTTTGCAGATAATCTGTTGTTTTAGAACATGTACCCATGAGCCAGACTGCCTGGTTCAAATGCTGGTTCTGCTACTAACTAGCTGTGTGTTTGGGGGCAAGTTATTTAACCTTTCTGTCCTCATTTCCACACCTGTAAAACAAGGGTAATAATTGTGTCTACCTCATAGAAGTATTCAGAGGGTGAAATGAGTTAAATGTAGAGCAATTAGGAAGTGAAGTGAGACTCGGCAAGCACTGTGTTAGCTGCTGTGAGTCTGTGGCAGGACTCTGAGGACTGCAGATCAGCAAGGAAGTGAACCAGGAAGGACGAGCGGGACAATGACTAATGTTTCACTTACACCCAACCAACTGCATAATGGGAACCTGTGACCTGTGACCGGCCTAATCAGTTCAGGGTCTGTACCCTGAGGGCCCCTCCAGCCATAGTTGGAAGAGTTGTGTATTCTTCTGATCCACGGGAGATGCAATAGATACAGAGTACCACTGGAAAGGGGAATGGGATTCCAAGGGCATCTGAGGGGAAAATAGAGTAGAAAGCAGGTAATATAAAAAACAGACAACCTCCAAACTTTCATTTCTGCCATTGTAATCTAAACTAAAAGATTATCAAATCGAGGAACCGAAAGAGAAGTAAATACTGTAATATGCCCATGCACAAAGTTGTAAGTCCAAGGACACTAACTACATTGCCCATATAACCCCCTCCAAAAGCCCGGCACCAGTTTACTGTCAACCAATATGCCATGTAGCCATCAAAAGGAATATGGTAGATGGATATGTAGTCACATGGAAAGAGCTCAAGACATTTGATAAATGAAGAGCTGCAAAACAATGTGTGTAGTACAGTTTTGTTTATGTGGAATATGTGTATTTATCTGTACTTATATGTAGTTAATTTAAACAACCACAGTTTTTTAATTTTTTAATTTTTTAATTTATTTTTATTTATTTTATTTTTGTATCATTAATCTACAATTACATGAGGAACATTATGTTTACTAGACTCCCCCCTTCACCAAGTCTCCCCCACCTGCCCCATTAGTCACTGTCCATCAGCGTAGTAAGATGCTGTAGAGTCACTACTTCTCTTCTTTGTATTGCACAGCACCCCCACACACACATTATACATGCTAATCGTAAGGCCCGCTTTCTTCTTACACCCTTTCTCCCTCCCTTCCCACCCATCCTCCCCAGTCCCTTTCCCTTTGGTAACTGTTAGTTCATTGTCGGGTTCTGTGATTCTGCTACTGTTTTGAAACAACCACAGTTTTTGAAGTGTATATACCAAATTGTTAGCAGTGGTTATAACTGGGTGGAGAGGAATTGAGAGGTGAAGGGGGGCTTTCATGCCTTCGTCTTTATTAAAGTTGCCAGATTTAGCAAATAAAAATACAGAACATCCAATTAAGTTTGAATGTCAGATAAGCAACAAATATTTAAGTATAAGAAGGTCTCATGGTAATAATAATATGGACATACTTATACTAAAAAGAATTCATTGTTTGCCTGAAATTCAGATTTAAATGGGCATCCTGTAATTCCTCAGGCAAGCCTACTCTGTATACTTGTGTATTATTTAATAATTTTTAAGTGGTACTTTCATGTACTAATTGTATGATTTTTAAAAATTAAAAAGAAGAAGAATAAGAGAGTTTCTTTTCAAGACTACAGAAAGACACAATTTTTAGTGAAGACTAAATTGACTGGCCTAGAAAAAAGCAGATTACATGCAAAGCAGCATATTAAGACCCCAGTTTTATAAAAACGAAATCACATGTATGCATATACTAAAAGATGGAAGGATATACAGAAGAATATTAACAGTGGTTCTCTTTAGTGATGAGATTAGGATGCTTTAGATTTCTACTTAATGCTCTTTAAAGTTCTTTAAAAATGTTTGTGAAGAGCATGAATTACTTTTGGAAAGAGAGAAGTTCATGTGTTAAAGGCACCACATTTCTGTGCTTCCATGAGAACTTAGACATGCCCCAGCTGTTACTACTTGCATCTGCCCTCAGAAGAAAGTGTGGGCGGCAGTGTGAACTTCACCTTTGGTTTGGGATTTTTAAAAATGCTGTAGTTTTAAAAAATGCTGAAGTGCCATGTCCTTGCAGGGTACCTCCAAAAGCAGCCCTACTTCGGAGCGGTGGTCGGCAGGGTAGCCAACCGGATTGCCAAAGGAACATTCACGGTGAACGGGAAGGAATATAAGCTGGCCGTTAACAATGGGCCCAACAGTCTGCACGGAGGACTCAGAGGGTTTGATAAGGTGAGTTGGGGACATTGGCCTGACTCCCCACCTGTCACTCTTGACAAAACCTTCAAGCACACCTTCTGTTTGCGAGGCACAATGCGAGGCCTTCGAGCAAATGCATGGTCAGGTGAGACAGGAAGAGGCCGCTGCCCTGGTTGGGGGGAGCCACTCCCTGGCCCTTTTCCAGCACTCATCCTCTGCTCATCTGACTGTAGTAGGCAAGGGAGCCCCAAGTGAACAGGTGACAGCCCTGACTTAGGAAAGGCAGGGAAGGACTTTCTCACTGTGTTGGGATCAGGGAGTCAGGTTGACCTTTAATCTACAACAGAAAATCTGCTGACACATAATACCTACAACGTACTGTGGAAGGCATTTGCATATATTATCTCTCACCCTTGCTAGAGCCCTGTATTATCACATGAGAAATGTGAGACTCTGAAAAGGTCCCGCAACTCAGTCAGGCTGCCTGACCCGAAGTCCTCATCCCTATGCTACGATTGCTGTGTCCTCTACAGCTGCTGTGGGTGCCCCCAGTTCAGCCCCCCTCCTCCTGCCCTGGATGTGGCACCACCCCCAGGCCACCCCTTCCACTGAAGTGCCTCAGGCCTTAGAATTACCTCAGATTCCCCCCAGCTTCCCCTTTTCACAGTAAAACGCCCACTCCCCAAGTGAATCCCTCGATAAACAAGGTTAGGAAAGCAGACTGATCAGACAGCTTCTCCCTGAGTAGGAATGCCTGGCCTCTGCTTCCTAGCTGTGTAGCAATCTTCAGGTTAACCCCCAGTGACTCTCTTACTGGTCTAATCTCAGGGAGACAATTTTGGTAGTTTACTTTCCTTTAAATTATACCACCCAGGTTATCTCCAGAGAAGAGCCAGAGAACACAGGAACCTGTATGGTGATTAAGGACCATCATTTCTTTTCTGCCTCTTACTACCACTTGTCCTGTTGAAGGAAGTTGGTTTCTCTCTGTGTCCCCATCCCAGCAGCTTCCTGTCTGTGGCCTGAACCAGACTGCCCCATCAGTTCCCCTTTCCTCCCTGATGGGACTTCTCACGCCAGGGGAACATGAAGGCAGCGGGTAGCCTCTCTATGGGCAATGTTAAGATGGAGGGTCTCTAGAATATGCCAGGTCCCTGGGAAAAGCCCAACCAGAGGATGTCAGGCCCCATTCTGCTTGGATAGGTATCTTCAGAGAAGCCTCATAACAGCACCTTGTTCTAGATTGTTCCTGCATCCTCTCTTCCACTTGTGGCATTTTCTGTGGTGCTACTTAACATGTGTGCCCTATATGAACATAGCTAGATAGTGAGCATATGTACCTTTCAATGCAGTGTGCATACCGAGCCCCTTGTGTGAACCTGCATAATAGGATGGGGATTCCTGGGACTCCAGTATAGTGAAAGCCCCGGACCCTTACATAAGTAACTGTTGTCGGGAGTAAGCTCCGTAATACAGATGCCAGTGGTGTATTACAGGAACCGGGGGTGGACACACTGATAGCTGCCCTTGCAGAAAGGAGAGCATTTCATTCAATAAGGAGATACTGGAGAGAGTGGCTATGCAGCAGCCCAGAGAGGAGGGAAAGGCTTGGAGTATTCTCATGGAGCCACTGAAAGCTTTTGAACAGAAGGCTTTCATAGAGTGACATGAGCAGTATCAGATGAACTCAGTATTAAGTTGTACTTGATCTCAACAATTACTGAATAATTCTTGGTTTGGAGGTATGTTTTTCTATTTATATCAACACATTATTTAAAAGATGAAATTTGAATAACATGTCAGGATTAGAAGTGGTATAAGTAGGCCTGGAAATGCAAGTTTGGGAATTTTCAAGAAACTTAGAAACTACACATTCAGGGAAATCCTCCCAAGAATAGGAATTATACTTGGCACATTAGTGTACTTATCTGATAATATTGGTTTATACAAAAATCTTCCCATTTCCAAATCTTTGTGAAGGAGAGAAACTAGGTATCAAGTTAAGATTTTATTTCATGTATTTTGTTCCTAAAATTTTCTTTTGGGGGATTCTTTTTTCTTGTTTTAATCACACATAAAACAAGCTTTATGTTTTAAGTGTCTTGAGAGTTCAACATTTCTGAGAGATAACTAGAGTGTAAAATTAATTTTTTACTAAGGTCAGTGAATGTGTTTCCGATACTGGCTGCTTTCACCGTGGGTAATAGCAGAGGCCTCCTTTCCTGCAGGGCCCCCCTTCCTGGCAAATGCAATGTCAGTGAGAGAGATCAGCCCATGCCAGGAGTGGGTGGGCAGTCTGGGCTCATAGGCCATTCCTGTGGCCCACAGAAATTTTATCTTTCAAATCTATTTGCAGTGATAGTGTTTGCCCTCAACTCTTCTGGTTGAAATTGGAGATTCGAACAAAACATTCACTACAACTACCGTGTGGACTAGTAAAGATTGCCAGGCTTGAGTTTGAATCCTAGCCCCATCACTAATTACATGTCTGAGATCCAACAAGATTTTTTCCCCTCTTTTAACAATGGACATGTGGTGTGGAAGGGTTTTATTCCACTCCCCTGAATGCAGGAGGTGGATGTGGACAAGTTAACTCCCCTGGACTCAGTTTGTTCATCTGTAAAATGGGTGCAATAATACTAGTTGGAGCCATATTAAACTGACATTATTGAACTGTTTTGACCTCCAAAGAGGGTTGTTTTGTTTGGTTCAACCAAATCCTTACCATACAAAATGATTTATTTAAAGCACCAGGTCAGTGACTGGTGAGCACTCAATGAGTGAAGGTCTCATGTCTGCAAAAGGCCCCTTTACTAGTGGCCTCAGGGCTCCTAAAGGGACTGGGGGTCACTGGCCACCTCATTGTCTGATAGTGTAGAAAAAGGGAACAGGCTCCCAATCAGACCACTTGTCTCAAATCCAGTGTCTTCCTGGCTGTGTGGCCCAGACGCAGCTCTCTCATTTACATGAGGAAAATGGTACATACTGTAAGTAAGCTGTGAGACAGATGAAATCATGCCTGTGACGCTTCCAGCAAAGAGTTTTGGCTCATAATAATGACTCAGTAATGGTGGTGATTTTCCCTTCCCCATAAGTGTAATCTTGAGGCCTCTAGGGTAGACTTGAGAGGAACCAGTGAGTTAATCCAGTATTTCTATTTCCAACAGCAAAAAACCTATTTTAGAAAACTTTTCTTCATATTTTTCTTGCCGCTCTTAGAGTCATATTTTCTAGAGCCAGAAGAAGCTTTCAAGACCATTTTTTCAGCCCCTTTATTTTACGGAAGGGGCTGATGCCCAGAGTCACACAGGGAGCTGGGAACAAGCCTGGGCCCCCAGTCAGGACTTCCGGCTTGAGGGCTGGAACTCTTCCTAAAGGAGCAAGTGCTTTCTTGCCTCCTTATTTATTTGGAACATGCCCAGGGAACATGGAGGACCTCGGGGTGTTTTTTATAAATACTTGTAAAAAAATAGTACCCCTTGGGAGAGTGGGGCTGATCTATTAAGGTTATTTTTTAATACTACTTGCAGATATTGCTATCAGAATGGGGTGTCAAGATTTAAAAAAAAACTTTGAAAGAAGGGGGAGAAGAAAATATTGTAACACATACATACAAACTCTGGGAGAAAGAGTGAGGAATGTTGGTAGGCAAAGAAAATTTTTTTATCTCAAAAGCCACTTTTCTGTATAAAACAAACTTTTAGAGTAATTACAATCCAAGCTATTACTCAAACACCTTAATAATCCTGTAACCATTTCTCTTCCCAGAATAAGCTGTCATTAAGTATTGAAATGTGGCCCTTGGCTTGGGGGTCCGAGGGTCTGAACAGCTGTGAAAACACGTTTTCTAGGTCCTCTGGACTCCTCAGGTGTTGCCCGGTGGCGTCCAGTTCTCACGGGTCAGTCCCGACGGTGAGGAAGGTTACCCTGGGGAGTTAAAGGTCTGGGTGACCTACACGCTGGATGGCGGGGAGCTCACAGTCAACTACCGAGCACAGGCCACTCAGACCACACCTGTCAACCTGACCAACCATTCTTATTTCAACCTCGCAGGCCAGGTAAGAATTCTCCTGTGCTCTTCCGCTGTATGCTTCGTGGCCTGCCCTGTGCTGGGGGGTGGCCGGGAAGACCAACCCAGCATGGAATTACTCTGGTAATGGGGTCACTCTTGTGATGAAGAGAAGTGCCCAACAAAGAAAGCATGTATCTCCTAGTAGGTGCTCAATAAATGGAAGTTACAGAGAAAGATGGAATGAGTATATTGTACTGCCAAGAGAATGATCAGTTTCCCATATGCTCAAACAAGGAGCTATTTCAGGAACTCCCTCCCATCTACCTATGACATGTGCTCACATTTGTTTCCACTATTGTGCTCCCCATCCCACCCCCACTCCCAGCGTTACTTCCAATCAGGGCGCTTTCCACTCTTGAATCTTTGGAAATATACTTGGCCCAGTCCTTTAGCTATGCTGCCAATATTTGTATGCTCCCATTGTGCAGTCCACCCTGAGTGTGTAGAGACACTGACAGCCCCCCTAGGTAATTCCCTCTAAACTACCTCATTCCCTCCTAGTGGTATTATTTTAGCTTATTGATGAGGCTATTACATGAGACAGAATAAAAAGCTTAGCTAAACTCTGTAGATTCTATTGCCTCCTCTTCTTCTGAAGAATTCACCATTGTCCATTATACTTGAATCACTTTGGTATGATTTCCTACCACAGATGATGTTCACAGCCAACTAGTAATATCTTGCATTTTCACACTCTTTTAGGAGGTGCAGATGATCCGATGAGTTTTTTTTCTAAGATCTCTTCAAATAGCATGAGTTAATTGGTTCTTATATAACTTCCAAATTCTCCCTTTAAAAATAAGAAAGATGATTCTTCACTTGTCTGTTCCTGATCATCAGGAACTTTCACCATCCTTCCTGAGATGAGATATTAAAGACAAGCCAAAAAGCAAAACTGAAGCAAACATGCTCAGCCATGAGAAGCTCTGCAATCATGTGCCTAAGACCTACTTTTAACAATAAGTTCAGAAAAGAAACTTGACAGAAATGGACCAAATATTAGTGATTTTATGTAGTAATAGATCATGGAGATGTTTCACTATTTTCCACACTATTGTATCCTTAGGACACCCTATTTTACAATGTGGAGGTAGTCTAAAGGAACAGGTTTAGAAATCAAAAGAGAAATTATGTGTAAAGTATTACATCTGCAGATGGATGTGTTCTAATGAAGGAGACAAAGTGTAGGGTAAGGTCCACTAGGCCCTCTCCATTTACCTGGCAGGAGGACTCACCTACCCAGAACTTCCCATCCTTCCAGTCCTGCAGGGACTTGGAGTGATAGGTATTTCTACATCTCTTTCCAGAGGCTGAATAATTTCTCAGATCACAGACCCCCACCCAAAAGGGTGGCCAGTGTGAACTCCCTTCTGTATACTCTCTTAGTAAGGGCAGCTCACATCCACAGCCACTAGCTTCAGGGTTGGGTGGGGGGCAGGGGCACCAGCCTTGTGGGACACTCAGCCTTTGGGACTGTCCACTCTTATCTAAGAGTAGACAGTCAATCACAAGGCCTGGGGATAAGGGATCTCTGCACTTTCAGAACATCTCTCGCCCTACGCAGGAAAACATTACCATGTATCTTAAGCCCTCCCCACAGAAACAGCTGAAAACTTGACACTTAAATAGTCAACTCATCTTACATTTTGTGTTTGTTTTTTAAATTCAATAAGCAGTATTTTTATTTTACCTGGGGCCAAAGGTTGACTCATTACTTCTAAGTTTGCATGCTGGAGGCCTGGGGAGAGGAAAGAACTGTTTTTCAGAGAATGGAGAAGGTATATAGGTTGAAGTTTGGGTGGTATTTTTTTTTTGGCTGTTCATTCCTTACCTAGCCCAGAATTGGGAGAACATTTTTTTTTTTGAAACTTCACTTAAAGAGTTATGAAAGCAGTCCTAGGGAAATTTGAGATGAAAGGGACTAGCAGTGGTTCCTGTATGACTGAGTAGGTATGTCACCAAGGACCCAGTTTCTTGCACGTTTCCATTCTGCTGCTTCAGTATTCTGGCATTCGTCTACAGGCTCATCCCCTCGTGGTCACAAAATGGTTGCCACAGCTGCAGGAACCACCTCTTCATGTAGTCACATCCAAAGACAAAAAAGGACCTATTCCTTTTTTTCCTATCTCTAATGTTCCATTTTTAAGAACAAGCAAAACTTTTCCCAGAAGCTCCCCAGCAGACTTTTCCCCACAGTCTGTTGGCCAGAGGCGTTTCCTATTCCTTCCTAACCCAATCACCAGCAAGGGAATTAAACCATCATAATCAGTTTAGACCAATCAAAATTTATGCTCTGGGGCCAAGAAGAGAGGCCTTTCCCTGAATATATGGACTAGCATAAGATAAATCAACATCCTAAAGGGACTGGGGGTCACTGGCCACCTCATTGTCTGATAGTGTAGAAAAAGGGAACAGGCTCCCAATCAGACCACTTGTCTCAAATCCAGTGTCTTCCTGGCTGTGTGGCCCAGACGCAGCTCTCTCATTTACATGAGGAAAATGGTACATACTGTAAGTCAGCTGTGAGACAGATGAAATCATGCCTGTGACGCTTCCAGCAAAGAGTTTTGGCTCATAATAATGACTCAGTAATGGTGGTGATTTTCCCTTCCCCATAAGTGTAATCTTGAGGCCTCTAGGGTAGACTTGAGAGGAACCAGTGAGTTAATCCAGTATTTCTATTTCCAACAGCAAAAAACCTCTTTTAGAAAACTTTTCTTCATATTTTTCTTGCCACTCTTAGAGTCATATTTTCTAGAGCCAGAAGAAGCTTTCAAGACCATTTTTTCAGCCCCTTTATTTTACGGAAGGGGCTGATGCCCAGAGTCACACAGGGAGCTGGGAACAAGCCTGGGCCCCCAGTCAGGACTTCCGGCTTGAGGGCTGGAACTCTTCCTAAAGGAGCAAGTGCTTTCTTGCCTCCTTATTTATTTGGAACATGCCCAGGGAACATGGAGGACCTCGGGGTGTTTTTTATAAATACTTGTAAAAAAATAGTACCCCTTGGGAGAGTGGGGCTGATCTATTAAGGTTATTTTTTAATACTACTTGCAGATATTGCTATCAGAATGGGGTGTCAAGATTAAAAAAAAAACTTTGAAAGAAGGGGGAGAAGAAAATATTGTAACACATACATACAAACTCTGGGAGAAAGAGTGAGGAATGTGGGTAGGCAAAGAAAATTTTTTTATCTCAAAAGCCACTTTTCTGTATAAAACAAACTTTTAGAGTAATTACAATCCAAGCTATTACTCAAACACCTTAATAATCGTGTAACCATTTCTCTTCCCAGAATAAGCTGTCATTAAGTATTGAAATGTGGCCCTTGGCTTGGGGGTCCGAGGGTCTGAACAGCTGTGAAAACACGTTTTCTAGGTCCTCTGGACTCCTCAGGTGTTGCCCGGTGGCGTCCAGTTCTCACGGGTCAGTCCCGACGGTGAGGAAGGTTACCCTGGGGAGTTAAAGGTCTGGGTGACCTACACGCTGGATGGCGGGGAGCTCACAGTCAACTACCGAGCACAGGCCACTCAGACCACACCTGTCAACCTGACCAACCATTCTTATTTCAACCTCGCAGGCCAGGTAAGAATTCTCCTGTGCTCTTCCGCTGTATGCTTCGTGGCCTGCCCTGTGCTGGGGGGTGGCCGGGAAGACCAACCCAGCATGGAATTACTCTGGTAATGGGGTCACTCTTGTGATGAAGAGAAGTGCCCAACAAAGAAAGCATGTATCTCCTAGTAGGTGCTCAATAAATGGAAGTTACAGAGAAAGATGGAATGAGTATATTGTACTGCCAAGAGAATGATCAGTTTCCCATATGCTCAAACAAGGAGCTATTTCAGGAACTCCCTCCCATCTACCTATGACATGTGCTCACATTTGTTTCCACTATTGTGCTCCCCATCCCACCCCCACTCCCAGCGTTACTTCCAATCAGGGCGCTTTCCACTCTTGAATCTTTGGAAATATACTTGGCCCAGCCCTTTAGCTATGCTGCCAATATTTGTATGCTCCCATTGTGCAGTCCACCCTGAGTGTGTAGAGACACTGACAGCCCCCCTAGGTAATTCCCTCTAAACTACCTCATTCCCTCCTAGTGGTATTATTTTAGCTTATTGATGAGGCTATTACATGAGACAGAATAAAAAGCTTAGCTAAACTCTGTAGATTCTATTGCCTCCTCTTCTTCTGAAGAATTCACCATTGTCCATTATACTTGAATCACTTTGGTATGATTTCCTACCACAGATGATGTTCACAGCCAACTAGTAATATCTTGCATTTTCACACTCTTTTAGGAGGTGCAGATGATCCGATGAGTTTTTTTTCTAAGATCTCTTCAAATAGCATGAGTTAATTGGTTCTTATATAACTTCCAAATTCTCCCTTTAAAAATAAGAAAGATGATTCTTCACTTGTCTGTTCCTGATCATCAGGAACTTTCACCATCCTTCCTGAGATGAGATATTAAAGACAAGCCAAAAAGCAAAACTGAAGCAAACATGCTCAGCCATGAGAAGCTCTGCAATCATGTGCCTAAGACCTACTTTTAACAATAAGTTCAGAAAAGAAACTTGACAGAAATGGACCAAATATTAGTGATTTTATGTAGTAATAGATCATGGAGATGTTTCACTATTTTCCACACTATTGTATCCTTAGGACACCCTATTTTACAATGTGGAGGTAGTCTAAAGGAACAGGTTTAGAAATCAAAAGAGAAATTATGTGTAAAGTATTACATCTGCAGATGGATGTGTTCTAATGAAGGAGACAAAGTGTAGGGTAAGGTCCACTAGGCCCTCTCCATTTACCTGGCAGGAGGACTCACCTGCCCAGAACTTCCCATCCTTCCAGTCCTGCAGGGACTTGGAGTGATAGGTATTTCTACATCTCTTTCCAGAGGCTGAATAATTTCTCAGATCACAGACCCCCACCCAAAAGGGTGGCCAGTGTGAACTCCCTTCTGTATACTCTCTTAGTAAGGGCAGCTCACATCCACAGCCACTAGCTTCAGGGTTGGGTGGGGGGCAGGGGCACCAGCTTTGTGGGACACTCAGCCTTTGGGACTGTCCACTCTTATCTAAGAGTAGACAGTCAATCACAAGGCCTGGGGATAAGGGATCTCTGCACTTTCAGAACATCTCTTGCCCTACGCAGGAAAACATTACCATGTATCTTAAGCCCTCCCCACAGAAACAGCTGAAAACTTGACACTTAAATAGTCAACTCATCTTACATTTTGTGTTTGTTTTTTAAATTCAATAAGCAGTATTTTTATTTTACCTGGGGCCAAAGGTTGACTCATTACTTCTAAGTTTGCATGCTGGAGGCCTGGGGAGAGGAAAGAACTGTTTTTCAGAGAATGGAGAAGGTATATAGGTTGAAGTTTGGGTGGTATTTTTTTTTTGGCTGTTCATTCCTTACCTAGCCCAGAATTGGGAGAACATTTTTTTTTTTGAAACTTCACCTAAAGAGTTATGAAAGCAGTCCTAGGGAAATTTGAGATGAAAGGGACTAGCAGTGGTTCCTGTATGACTGAGTAGGTATGTCACCAAGGACCCAGTTTCTTGCACGTTTCCATTCTGCTGCTTCAGTATTCTGGCATTCGTCTACAGGCTCATCCCCTCGTGGTCACAAAATGGTTGCCACAGCTGCAGGAACCACCTCTTCATGTAGTCACATCCAAAGACAAAAAAGGACCTATTCCTTTTTTTCCTATCTCTAATGTTCCATTTTTAAGAACAAGCAAAACTTTTCCCAGAAGCTCCCCAGCAGACTTTTCCCCACAGTCTGTTGGCCAGAGGTGTTTCCTATTCCTTCCTAACCCAATCACCAGCAAGGGAATTAAACCATCATAATCAGTTTAGACCAATCAAAATTTATGCTCTGGGGCCAAGAAGAGAGGCCTTTCCCTGAATATATGGACTAGCATAAGATAAATCAACAAGTCAGGGTTCTGCCAGGAGAAAAGGAGGGTGCTGGCAAAGGAATGCCTGTGGCTTTTGGGTAGTACCACTCATGTCTGTTATATTCTGCTAGAAGTGATGAGAGCTGAATGAAGGCAATGAATGGTAGGGACAATGCTCATAAAGGTCTTTGAAGCCCCATGCAGGCCACAGTGAGCTCTACAAATGGTTGATGTTACCAGCTACTGAGCAAAGTTAACGAAAATAAACACTGAACTCAGAGATGAGCCTCAAGATCTGTTAGCAAATCAGCATTCCTTGCCAAATTTTCATCGGCCTAGAAGGGAAATTAATCCAATAGTAATATTCCACCAGAGGTGATCATTGCATTATTCCAGGTCAGTAGAGTCATAAAACGAAGCATGCTTCCCTTTAATAAAGGAATGTTAGTGCTTAGTGACCCAAGGACCATTAAGAGAGTGGGTGCCTAATAAATATTGCTTCCTTCTCCTTTCAGTCTTCTTCCTAATATCTCTGACTCATCAATTTATTTGGTGTGTAATGGAATCATTTTCTTCCTGCCCTAGTGCTAAAAAACAAACAGAAAAAGGAAATTCCTAGGCAGCTGTCTCGCCTGAGGGTTTCAGCCCTGGGCAAGTTCACTATGGGTTCAGCAATACCAAAAAATGACAATGGAATGTTTTTGCAGTAAAAGCCTTTCTACCTGGCTTTATTCTCCCGGCGTTAGGCGGTAGGTTGAGCATTAGAATCATGTCTGCATCCAAAGTGTGCAGGTCCGTAGTCCTCCTCTGCCTCTGCCTCCACCCAGAGCACTGGGCAGAGCTCTTTATATAGTGACTCAGTCAAAAATAGCTTATTGCCTATGGGTGTGGGAGCAGTAGCCTAGCAGTAGGCCAATTACATCATCAAGTAGTTTAGGAACTTTCATTTTCCCCACAGCAGCTTTATTCATAACAGGAAAAAACTGGAAACAACCCAAAGTCCCTCAACAGGAAAATGGATTAACAGGCTGTGATACAGTCATACAAAGGAATGCCACTCAACCTGAAACTGAGCATTAAACAGAGAGAGCCAAGGAAACTTTCAGTCCCAGATCCTCTTCCCTCGTCTCTGCTCCTCTCAGCACTCTGGTGCTGGCATACCCCGAGGTATGAGAGGATGGCAGTAGAGAAAGCCACACAGGAGAGAGACCTCTGTAGTCGAGAGCTGCTCTAGGCAGCAGTGCATTCCTCCAATTTTGGACCTGCCTTCCCAGGTCAGAACAGAAACAGAACAAGTGGTTATGATAAAAGTGTGGGCAGGGGAGAGGGAGTGTCTCCAACCCACTCCTACCCCTGCCCAGCACAGGACCACTAGGAAAATACAAGAGAATTGTAATTCAGAAACAGCCTCTTCATAATGCAGTTAAACAGGTTTTTGTTGTGTCTAGGCATAGATTCTCATTGTCTGTAAAGCTTGGCCTTTCTCCTCAGGGCAGCTGGATATGATTGTGTGGGCCTGAGTTCTTCTCAGTATAGAATCTGTTTCCCATTAACCTGCAGCCCTCCGTCTCTCTGCTTACTTCTCAGGGACCCAGCAGAGCTTGCAGTTTAGCTTAGCTCAGGGTTTCTTAACTTTGAGACCACTGACATTTTGGGTCAGATAATTCTTTGTTGTGGGGATGAGGAGGCTGTCCTGTGCATTAGAGGGTGTTCAGTAGTAGCCCGGGCCTCTGCCCACAAGATGTCAGGAGTATTATCACCCCCAGTCACGACAATAAAAAATCTCTTCAGACATTTTCAAATTTTGCTCTGCAAGGCAAAATCATCCCCAGCTGAGAATTACTGGGTTAGCTTATTTTTGAGCATTCACTAAGCAAAAGCCCTCACTTGGTTTCCCCTTCCACATCTTCTGCTGGGAAGCTTCAAAATATACTTCTATTAAAATATAATATTTTATTAAAAACATACCTGTTGTTTGCTTGAAACAAATATAACACTGTATATCAATAAAAAAATAATTGTGTATCAATTTTAAAAAACCCATACATGTGAACTTTCCAACTTGCAAGCAGTGCAACATGTCTTTTCTAAACTGTTCCTCACGAGCACCCTGGAAAAGCTATGGGCATCTTTAGCCCAATTTTTTTTTTTAATTAAGGCATCATTGATATACAATCACATGAGCAACACTGTGGTCTTTAGCCCACTTTTACACCAAAGGAAATGAGATTCTAGGAGGTTAAGTGACTTGCCTCAGGCCATTCCACAAGAGTCAGAACTAGACTGCAGGCCCTCTGTCCACTGACCAGCCTTTGACTCCCCAGAAGAGCAGACGGCTGCTTAAATGGGGGAGTCAAGCAAACTCTCAGAAGCAGGGACCCGAGTTCTGACTCTGTGGCTTCTTTCATGTGGCAGGGGGTAGGTCCTCTGGTGGGAGCTGGACCGGAGAAGGGCTGACACACACCGAACCCCAGCAAGCCCCAGGCAATGTCTTGGCTGTCTAGCACCTGTGTGTTACATACAGGTCACTGATCTTTGCTCTTCTGTTTGCCTGGCAAGTGAGAGAGTGGAGGAAACCTCTCTTCTAGTAAGCCAAAGTCCAAAAGGCTTTCCAACTACTGGTGGCTCTGACTTTTCACCTTCATAATTTCATTTAGAAAAGAAAATGCATGCTGGTGGTCACCCTTGAAAGTTTCTTCCAAATTTGTCAGTTGCTATTTTGAGGCCCTATATACTTACTATACTTAAATGAACATTTAATCGTTACCATAGCTTAATGGGATTTCTAGTTTTTTTTTTAATGCCTCAAAACATTTCTGTGAGAGACGTTCTCATCCAAATACAATTCACCTTTGAACTGCATGGGTCCGCTTATGCATGGACTTTTGTTTCAATAAATACAGTACCATAAATTTATTTTATGATTTTCTTAACATTTTGTTTTGTCTAGCTTACTTTATTGTAAGAATACAGTATATACTACAGAACACATACCAAATATGTGTTAACCAACTGTTTATGTTCTCAGAAAGGCTTCTGGGCAACAGTAGGCTATTAGTGGTTAATTTGAGGGGAGTCAAAACTTACATGCAGATTTTGACTGCTTAGGTGGTCAGGACCCCTGCTTTGTTCAAGGGACAACTGTATACAAAGTGAGACTGGGCATTAAATCTTCATTTCTTTCTCTACCTTTTCCCTCCTAGGGTTCCCCGAATATATATGATCATGAAGTCACTATAGAGGCTGATGCTTTTTTGCCTGTGGATAAAACATTGATTCCTACTGGTTGGTGAATTTAAACTTTTTTTAATGGAAATGCAGAACTGGGATGCAATTTGAGGAGCATCAAAACTTCATTTACCTATATTTGTTTTCCCTGTTGGACTGCCAAAATACCTATAATTACCACGATTAGTCACCTCTTTTGGTTGGGTGACCGTATAATCAAACCCCCAAACAGGACATGTTTGAGAGGGAAAGGGGATGCTATTAACAGTTAAGCCCAGGCAACAGGCATAAACTGGGACAGTTCCAAACAAACAGGGTCGTGTGGCCAGCCTGGCTGAGCCTCAGACTCCAGAAGTTCTCCACTAAAACGTAAATCTGTTAGCAGAGATAAATTTACCTAAACATTACCTCACAAGTGCAGGACACTGATAGAACACAAAGTGGTTTTTGATAGAAGAGGAGAAGGTAGGATAAGTTGTACTCTGAGGAGGACAAATGCAGGTAAGTCACCTCTGAGACGCAGCCGGGTAGACGGGGTGGAATGCAGAGTCCAGAGTATCCAAAGAGGAGGTGAGGTATTGGGGAGTCAAACCTCATGCGTGTGTGTGCGTGTGCGTGTGCGTGCGTCTCCTAGGTTAACTGGGTTGAAATCATCTTGGTTCTGAGGAGTCAAACCTCATGCGTGTGTGTGCGTGTGCGTGTGCGTGCGTCTCCTAGGTTAACTGGGTTGAAATCATCTTGGTTCTGACTATTTGGTATCAAAAGTACCTTGGTTTAAATAGGCAAATTCATAGAGACAGAGAGTAGATTAGTGGGTTCTGGGGACAGAGGGAGGTTGGGGAGTGACATTGGATTCAAGATTTTTTTGGGGGTGATGAAAAGATTCTGGTATTAGTGGTGATAGTGGCACAACTTTGTAAATATAGAACACTACTGAACTGTGTACTTTAAAAGAGTTAAATTTTATGGTATTTGAATTATATCTCAATTAAAAGAAAGGAAGGGGAGGGAAGAGAAGGGAGAAGGAAAAAACAACTTGGTTGACATGTTATCTCCAGGATGAAGTGGTATTGGTTTGTACTAGACTGTAGGGACACCCCCATTTGCCTCCAGGGGACAGATGATGACAGCAAGATGACTGGCAGGGCTGTTACCTGTAACGACTTATGGAAGTTAACTTGAAGTCATTATCCCAAAGCAGTAGATAAATATTCTTACTGGGATTTCATTAAGATCAAGGTCAGGTGAGCGTAGAAGGCATAGTCAAAGAAAACTAAAGTGAACAAGAGTAGAGGATGAAGGGAAAGGAGCAGAAATCCAGAAAGACACACTTTCACATCAGCTCCTCTCCCCCAGAAAGAAGGGCTGCCCTGCTGCCCCTTGGCTGGCCGAGGCCTCCTGCCTGGTGTGACAGAGACTTTTCGGAGATGTCACCTTATGACTCCTTTGTCAGATTGCTTGTGCCCTGTGTTCCATTCTCTTAGGCCTTCTAGAAGCCCATCTGCTGGCCCTTCCATCTGTTCCCACCCTGAGTAAGGGTGCTGCTACTTTACCTGTCACCTCTGCTCCAATTAAGAGCTTACTTAGAACGATAGAATACAAGCAGTTAGGAGCCAAGGGCATCATCTTAAACAAGTAATGAAGGTTTACATCACCAGTAAGATTATTATCCCAAGTAGTTTAAAAAAAAGAAAACTTACTGAAATATAACATACATACATTCCCAATTAATATTAGTGACCTATATTGATGATACCACCACCACCCCCTCATGTGATGCCCTGAAAAGTGTATCATTTCTGTGATAACCTTATTCCATTCAGGAGAAAACACACTAACCCAGTTGAGGCACAGTCTACAAAATTATGACTAGCCCTCTTAGTGTCAAAGTCATGAAAGACAAAGACTGAAGAATGGTCACAGAGGAGACTAAGGAAATAAGACAACGTAATGCAACTTGAGAGCCTGGATTGGATCCTGAGTCAGAAAAAGGGCATTAGTGGGAACACTGGTGAAATTCTAATGAAGTGTGTACTTTAGTCAATAGCACTGTACTAATGTTAATTTCTTCATTGTGATCAGTGTACCACGGTTATGTAAGATGTTAACATTAGGAGAAGGGCAGAGATGTACTGTTTTTGCAACCTTTCTGTAAGTCTGAAATTACATCAAAGTACACAAAGAAAAAAAGTGCAAGGCTCTAAGATATTACTTTAATTTAATTGCACACCTGTCTTATTTAGGTCAGGGCTTTTGTTTCATTTTGGCTTCTTTAAAATAGCAGGCTTATGTTTCTGGCCTCTAGTTCAAAGTTTGTACAAGGAAAAAGGTTAAGAATGTGAGCCTGCATACTAAACAGTACTTTGTTTAGCAGCAGGAATTAGAAATCCCCATAAATATAGTAACTACAAAACTCATTAGAATAATGAGAAATCAAGATAAATGTATTAAAATTCTTGCATCACAGTTTTGAATGTTTTACTGGCTCGGAGCTGAGTTTAAAGGCTTTTATGTTTGTGTTGAGAACATGTGTCATCTTCTGATATCTACATGGCTCAATAGATGGACATGAGTAAGCTGGCCCATCTTTGTCCTGGATGCAGAATTTTTGCATTTGAATAATGTGAAGGAAAAAATAGTGGTAACTGGTGTTGCCTGATAAGGGCAAAAATGAATTAAGTAGCTTGTAAGTGGACGTGATGAAGTAAGTCATTTTATTTCTGTGTATAAAATCTTACATTACCTGTTAAGTTTTGATCAGGTGAAAATCACAAAAATGCAAGATTCATGCCATGTAAAGACTATTTGTCATGATTTGTAAGAGATAATTGTGGCAAAGCAGAGTTGAGTCTAACATGCAATCTAATGGACTGCATATAACTCATGTTCATCTCAGTTCTGCACTGTAAGTGGTTTGGGATCAAGTTCTATACTTTGTACCAATATTGAATACCTGTGAAGTTGAGTAGGATGTAAAATTAAAGTTTTGGACCCTGGGAGGCAGGAGCCCTGGGTCTAGTTCTGGCTTTGCTGTTAACTAGCTGGGTAACTTGCAGTGTATGTATAACACTTAACTTCTCTTGACTCTCATTTCCTTTTCTGCAAATAGGAGGGATGTTGAACTCAATCTGATTTCATGGGCCAGTAAATTTTCTTAAAAAGTGATTTGGAAAATTTATCTGGGGTTGCCCAACTTTTCATTTTTCCAAGCTATCATAAATATAGGGTCACTAATATTAGTTGGAAATGTATGTATGTTTTATTTCAGTAAGTTTTCTTTTTCTTTAAATTACCTGGGATAATAATGATGAACGGAGGTAAATAAATCACCTTTATTTTTTAAAGACCCAAACTACCATTTATAATCACCATCATTTCATAAAGGAAAGAATATTTTAACACCACAAAAGTGGGGAAAATCTCATCTCAGAATGAAGAACAATCCTTTAATTGAATTCATCTTGATTTTTAAGGTGTGATAGTGGATTATTGAAACATACCTGTTTTCTTTGGACCAGTGAAAACTTTATCATGGACTCATGACTGAGAACCAGTAAATTGGTCTTTAAGGCCACCCATAGCTCTTACATTCTGTGATTCTACAAGGCTCTTAATGTAACATTTTATTATTTCTACCACCCTTCAAATCCATTAGAACTACTGTGAAAGTAAATAAGTTGCGACAACTTCAGAGCTTATGAAAAATTCATGATTCTCTTTTATTATCCACACGTTAGCTGGTCCTACATAGGCTGTATCTATTTGCCCAATGACACTTCAACTGAAATTATAGAGGTTTCTTTTTCCCTTTCTCCTTTTTCAGAAATGCTTAAGAAATAAGCTAATTACATGATTTCTTTGGAACATCTTACAAAAGTGAGTGGTAACTGCTACTCTGCACGTCTGGCCCACTTTCAGCTGAGAGCAGATCTCTAGGAGCCAAGATTCCATCTGAGTCTTTATTAACCAAAGCCTATGAGCAAATGGCTTAATTCTGAGAGCAGTTCAGTCATTTGGTCAATTGGAAAAGCCTGCTGAATGCCGCTGAGCTTGCCAGAAGGTGATAGTCTAGTGGAAGAGTCGGCCAGGATACTACCCATCAACCAGGAAAAAGTCAGGGTAGATGTGTCTAGGAGACTCAGTACACCAGGAAAGTACTGCCTGGAGACTCCCAGAGAGAGGGTATGAGAATTAATAAACCTGAAAGGGCAAGTAGAATTTTGTCAGGCAATGAGGAGGGGGAGGGTGTTTTGGATAGAGATGAACAAAAGCGATCAGTGCAGGAAACAGCAGGACGATCCCTGGGGAAGTGCTGGGCTTCTGCAGCAGTCGGGCATGCTTAAGGTGGCAGCAAATGGATGGGCCTGGAGAGGCTGGCTGGTGCCATGTCAGATCTGCACCAGGCTCTGGTACGGCTGTGATCCCTGGGGTGGCCCTGGACGACCCTAGACTGGCCTGGAGTTCAAGGACTATCTGCACAGGTGTACCTGAGTTCCTGATATTCAGCCAGAACTGGACAGAACCACAAGGTCACTTCCCCAGATGTACTCGGCCACTTCCCCAGATGTGCTTGGCCACTTCCCCAGACATGCTACAAGAAAGGTTAGGCCAGCCACACTCTGTTAAGAGTTCTGGGAATAAGATATATAATATCTAGAGATTGTGGTTGTGTTGAACTGAGAAAAAGGAAGATACTGTTTATCTGTGAGGTGAGATAAAGGTTAATGATAATAATGGCTAGTATTTCAGAGAGAACTTTATAAATAATCCACACCACAACCCCATAAGGTCACTTCCGTTCATTTTTCTATGGTCAAGAAACTGGAAGCCAGGAAATTAAAAAAAAATGCTTTTGACAGTTGTCACTTCTCATTTCTTCTGCCGCCTTAAGTGCAGGTAGTCTCACACCATCTCTGTCTTCCTCCCTGTTTCTCTTTCTATTCTACAAAGAAAACAGTAAACAAGTTTGTTCAAATCATTTTTAAAAGAGAGGGGAAAAAAAAAAAGACAGAGATAGAGACCTAAGAGGTTTTCCTGAAATTCAAGGGTATGAATTT